TTAAAGACCTCATACCTTCTTACAGACTGCCTTGAAGACCTCAGACCTGCTCACAGACCACCTTAAAGACCTCAGACCTTCTCACAGACCGTCTGGAAGACCTCAGACCTGCTCACATACCACCTTAAAGGGGACAAAGAATGCAGTTAATCAGCAATTTAAAACTGGTTTGAGCCTTGAAAAAGCATAAAACATTTTCTTGTGGCTTTCATCTGTCCCAGGAGCCCAGGCCATTCTAAAGACGCTTACACATTAGCGTCAGTACGAGACCGCATTTTGGTTTTCCACACAGGTCAGATTTGTGTCTTCGGTTCTGAGGCGACTCTTTTTTTCAGACCTCCTCCCCAGCAGTCAGACTGGGACCGAGGCGACACTACGGACTGATTGGCCTGCGGAAATTACGCCTATTGCCTCCGATCTGAGAGTAAAATGAGCCAGCGAGAAGCATTTGTGATTCTTTTTCATGCTGGATGTCGTTGAGTAAACTTCTCTGTCTGTAGCACGAAGCTGCCGATCAGTGGGAACGGGAAACAGAGAGAGCTGTGTGTGTGTGTGTGTGTGTGTGTGTGTGTGTGTGTGTGTGTGTGTGTGTGTGTGTGTGTGTGTGTGCGTGTGTGTGTGTGTGTGTGTGCGTGCGTGCGTGTGTGTGTGTGTGTGTGTGTGTGTGTGTGTGTGTGTGTGTGTGTGTGTGTGTGTGTGTGTGTGTGTGTGTGTCCCTGTCTTCTGCATCGAAGCTCTTGCCCCAGCGAGCAGACAGCTTTTCAGTGGAGAAAGCAGAGTGTGTGTGTGTGTGTGTGTCTGCAGCAGCAGCTCACAAGAATGAGAACACACACAGCAAATTAATAAAATAATGTGGTTCAAAGTCTCCAAAAGCAGCACAGCTCATGCATGCGAACTTTCCCACGCGTATTAAACCCCACAGACTAGGGGATTTCCATAAACCCGAGAAGTCTCTCAGGTTTATATGTGAACACTACACCTCCCGTACCAGACCTAGCACTTGCCATCCAACCCCACCAAACCCTGACCGTACCGACGCTAATGTGTAAGTGTACTAACCTCCTTATTTCAGCCCTGCTCTATAAAGAGCCGTTAAGTCCTCCCATTCAGCCAGGACATGAATATGATAATGAGCTGCTTCCTTATTGGTTGGATCCCCATAAGGCTTCAGAAGGTTACAGCCTTGTGTAGCATTAGCAGCTGGTAGCAGCTAGTATCTTCCTCACCTGTTGTTCGAGATATAGATTCATCTGGCATTCAACCTTAAATGTTTGAACCCGACTCAAAATAAAGTTGTTGAAGACCAACCAGCTGTTCACCAGGGACTGGGAATGACGTATCAGATCGGTACATTTGGTCAAGAAGCTAACTATATTAGCGCTAGTTAACATCATGCACCCATGTAGACATTAGATTAAGTTTGTATCTTTTGTCATAGAAACAGTATTTTACCAGCATGTTGTACTCATGTTTTAGTGTCACTGCTACTGCGTGCAGTTTACTCAGAAAATTGCTTCCATACACCAGCAATTAATTCCAAGCTCTCCCCCTCCCCTGAGATTTTTTCCCTCCGCCAGTCATTTTGTTCCTTTCTTCTTCCCACCTCGTCCGAAATATCTGTTCTTATCTGTAAATCCAAGCCCCCCACCTGCTCTCTCGACCCCCTCCCTACAGTTTTGGTTAAAACATGTCTCACCTCCCTTCTCCGTCTCATAACCGCCATAATCCACTCCTCCCTCTCTACCAGTGTTGTTCCCTCACTTTTCAAAACTGCATCTATTACTCCAATATTAAAAAAACCCGGCACTGAGCCCAGTCATTTCAATAATCTTCGTCCCATCTCAAATCTTCCCTTTCTTTCAAAATTACTAGAAACAATAATCTGTTCAACTCCATGCTCATCTCACCCTCAATAGCCTCTATGAGCTCTTCCAGTCTGGTTTTCGTCCTGGCCACAGTACAGAAACTGCACTCATAAAAATCATTAATGACCTCCTCACTGCTGCCGATGCTGGACTGCTCTCATCCTCATCCTCCTCGACTTGAGTTTGGCCTTCGATACCATCTCTCACACCATCGTCCTCCATAGATTGTCTTCCCTTGGCATTTCTCATACCCCGCTTGATTGGTTCCATTCATATCTCTCTGGCCATACTCAGTTTATTCAACTCAAATCATTCACTTCCCATCCCTTCCCTGTCACTACCGGCATCCCCCAAGGCTCTGTTCTCGGTCCACTTCTTTTCATCACTTACCTTCTTCCCCTGGGAAATATTTTCAGTAAATTTGACATCCATTTTCATTGTTATGCAGATGACACCCAGCTCTATGTATCCTCCAAACCCTCCTCTTCACTCCCTCCTTCCTCCCTCACCAACTGTTTATCTGAAATCAAAGACTGGTTCACATCAAACTTTCTCAAACTCAACAGTGATAAAACAGAAATGTTACTTGTCGGCACTAAATCCTTACTATCCAAAATCCACAGCTTTACACTTCC